CTGTTGGCAACGGAGCTGTTTGAATTAATGTTGCGTTTTGACACTGAAGTGCTCTTCCCTTGTGAAGAAATTACACGGGCATAAGCGGCCGGCGTTACGTCCCCTTGTTTGTTGAATTCCCACCACGGCGCTAGAAATTCTGAATCCCTCCCGCCGCACAAGAGATATTTTGCGTCTTTTACACAAATATCTTGAACAAACTATTGCCGCTGTTGTTTCTGTTCTAGATACTCTGTATTAGCACCGGTCACCAGGGCAACAAAGTAAAAGCAGATAACAACCTCAGCAGAGCCCACCGATCCAACAGAGTAGAGTCACACGGCAATTGTTTTAGTAAACGGGTATATATCTTGATTAAACTATTGCCGTCGCTGTCTCTGTTCTAGAAATTGAGAGTATGCTTTCGAGGCTTGCCCACGTTCGCAGAAATCGGGTTCACGTTTGAGCTGCCATAGGACACCTTCTTCTCGTGCTAGGCTAGATACGACAGGAACATGTCCTTGCCCTTGTTGTCCAGTGCCTTGTTGAACTTGACCGACATCGTGAAGAAGACCACGTCCTCGCTCGTCTTCGGCCGCTTGCCTGCCTTGTCCCCGTGATACTTGCCTCAATGACCGTCTCGGCATCAACGCACTATAATCTCCAGTCGCTGGACAGTCGTGTACATGTACATTGGGATTGGAGGAGACTTCCAGCTACCCCGTCCATACGTGATTTTCGCGAGCCTCCACTTGGAGCAAAATCTTCTTCGGCAGGAATCGCGATGGCGTGGACAATAGCGAGACGTAGAAACGATCAAACGTACTCTCAGCATCATATACAGTTGCTCTTGTACGGCCAGCTTTGCTAATTCATCAAACAGGAAATCGTTTAGAGAAACTTTTGGTGCACGCTGAAATGGTAAACGCGACGAAAGTGGCGTATCAAGAACGTCTCCTTGGCTCAAAAACACTTTGTGGAGTAATAGCATCCTTGGTGCATGCTCTCGCAAACAATGAACACCTCGAAGAAAAACCTCCGGTCGTTTCTCGATTTCCAAGCATTGGCGTGCAATCGTCTGAATCGCAAACTGCGCCGCAACATTCCCCAGGCCAGCACCAATGTCAAGAAAGACGTAGTCTCGATGCACAGCTCCAATCATTTGAATCACGCTTGATATAGCGTCAGGCAGCATCTCACCTGCGTTCTCATCCGTCTTTCCCGCTTGTTGACGAGCGTCCGCGGCCGAAACGTTGCTTAAGATATCGCGAATAGCGCTTTCGGCTTGGCTCGGCTCCAGAAGACGAAGATGCTGCTTGTGAGATAATGTTGGCGTCGACGTGGAGAAAAAACACGGTGGAAATCTTGATAGATCACGTCCATACGTGCGCTTCAGAGCACGCAGCCGGTTCTCAAGCGCTTGGACAGAATGTTTACTCCTTATGGCCCGCGCCACCTCCTTCCACTCAACTCGCTTGTGTTGGGATTCATACTCGAGTGCAAGCGCTACAATTCGTTTGTCTTGTGCGTCGGTGAAGTTGGTCCGCATAGCAAAAAAATACTGAGAGAGAAGGCATGCATCTAACCTAGGAATACTATAGCTGATACCAGCACGATTGGTGGCTCTGGGGCTGAAGCCTCGACCAATTTTTTATGATAGGTTTTAGGATCTGCTAGCCTTGTTTACAACACGTTTTTTCCTTGCGCTTCATGCGGCTACCAGCCGAACCGCAAATATGACGCTAGGCTGGCCAAAAAAGGTACGCGCTCTCACGATATTCACAACTCAGTTTCGCGGCACAGAAAGGATCTATCAGAAGCCGTAATGCGAAGATCTGATTGGCAAAAACAAAACAAGGTGTGGATTTTGTAGAACGCGGCAAAATGCCGCGTTTAAAGGGTCGTTTTCCCACCCTCTTTTGAAAATCATGTCAAACGCGGCACAATGCCGCGTTTGACCACGAAAGGGTCAATAATCAGAACGTGACGATATACGGGGGCTATAAAAGCAGTAAAGTACTTGCAAGAGCTACAGTACTGCACCCCGTTTTCGCGGGGGTGGACCATATAGGATCTGCAAATAAATTCGATTTTAGCATACAAAGAATAATTCATCTGGATTCATGATCATCACATCCGGAAGTTTATCAAAGGTCCAAGGGCGCGAAAACGGGGTGCAGTACTGTACCGGAATTTACGTGTTTTCTGCAACCGTGTAAAAAGTACCTTTCAAGTCAAAACCGTAAGAACGGCGGAAGGCGTAAAATCTCGCACAAGATACTCCTGTCCATTTGAAACCGTCGCTTTGCACAATATTGTAAGCAATAGCGCGCTTTAACTGGGACACTGATTTGATGCCAAACTGGTTAACTTTTTACGGGCCACTGGTTGCACAAAATTGATCGGTTGCAAAAATACCGTTAATTCCGGTACTTCGATCTGAAGACGCCCCTAGCAGTCTTGATCGGCACGGCAGTGGGCTCGGCCTAGTTCGTCGAGTTGTGTGGTGTCGTCGGGGTGTCGGCAACAGGTGCGTCCGTGGCAGGCGCTTCCGGGCTGGGTGCCGCCGTCGATGGGCAGTTGGCCGGCACGTAGTCTACCAGGGCGCCTTCAGGTTGAAGCCGGATCCGACCAGCAGCTGACACTCCTCCAGGTTCATGGCCTGCACGTCAGCGATCAGGGTTACCTGTTTCGTGGCGTGATGCACAAAAGTGGACCATAAGCTGCGTTGATTCATCTCCGGTCAGAGTCAGCACTTCCCCCCATAATCCTACACCTCCAACTGTTGTCACTTCAATTCTCTTCCAGTAAGCTCTTCACAAGATCCATTACACGTTTCTCGGCACGACGCAGCACGCGTTCTTCCAAGTCCACATGAGCTTGTCCCAATCGTTCATCCAGTTCCGACACGGCGACAGCTCGTGCCTTCTCCTCAGCGTTCTCTTCATTGTTATTCGTTTGATTTTCTGGCTGCTTCAGACACACCCACATCTGATGCCGATCCGAAGTTGCAACTTGTTGCATTTTCAGTATTGGTTGGTGCTCCTGGATTAGATTTTGCACTAGAATCTGCGATTGCTCCGCCCTATAAGCTGCGCGCTTTTGCACGTCAAGCAACGTGACGTTAATGTGTTCCTCCATGGCTCGATGAGCAGCTGTAGCTAAGCTTCTGCTTTGGCACGAGCTTAACTGAGACTTCTACCACAGGAGCTCTGTCCTGTAGCGTCATCAACATGTTCTGAATACGATCGTCCACACGACGTTCGAGCGCTGTGGGGCCCCCGTATGCCTCGCTAATGGCACAAAGGAGCTCTTGAGTTCGCTCCTCCGCTTCCTGACGGGATTGAGCAACTTCTCTACGAAAAGCTTTGTCGGGTTTCCTGCTCCGCCTGACGTTGAGCTGATTCATCTCCCCACCAGCCAATCGCAACGACGGAAGTGGAGTACATGTATTTTAATTTACCACATCGAAGTTGGTACGTTGCATGAAAATAAAGTTGCCCAATATATTGCAACTTACCCTTCGTGCAACGTCTCACTTGATGTGCGAAGAATAAGCCATTTCGCCAAAGAGAAGATAACGATCAGGAGTATCGTTCTCCTGGGTTATGAATCTCGTTGACGACGGCGTGTGGCTGCTGCGCATGTACCTGGAGGCGCTGCTATTCATTCCTCGTTTGCTGTAAGTTCTTCTTGACCTCATCCCAGCCCGTTTATGTCTGCTTTCTGACTGCCACTCAATCGCATTGCAGAATCGAGCTCAACTTGGCGTGGAACCCTTTTGTGATCCTCGCAGTTAACGCTCTGCAACGTCTCCACTCTGTACTCAAGACGATCACAGGAAATATGACAGACAGCGACGGAATGCGGTGGCTACAGCCTGGAGAACGCGGTGGAGAGCGCATTGCCATTGTGAGTTACCCACGCTGCGGTAACTCCCTCATGCGTGGTCTGTTGGAGAAGGTCACGGGCGTCTACACAGGCTGCGACACTCGTCCGGACCGCTCGCTTAGTAAAGAACTGCAGCAATACGGCATGAAGGGCGAGGGTGTGGTGGACGAGTCGGTCTGGTTCGTCAAAACGCACTTCCCCGAGCGTGTGGGCTACAAGGAATTCCCCGTCAAGAAGGCGATCTTGGTCGTACGCAACCCATGGGACGCTATTGATTCGTACTTTAACATGACGCTCACGAATACGCACAATAAGAGTCTGGACGAGTCCCAGTACGAACGCTTTGCCGCCCGATGGGACGGACTTCTCCGCAACGAGATCGACGTTTGGATGAAGTTCCATCGCTATTGGACCACGAAAGTGGACATCCCGATCATTGTGGTCCGCTACGAAGACCTCATGATGCATCGTGAGGAGACTTTATGTCGCGTGTTCCTCTTTTTGACGGATCTGACGACTCTGGAAGGCACAGAGTGGGAGAAGCGCATCCACGATGTCATGGCCACAAGTGGCGACAAGGCCGGACCGTATAAGCCTCGCAGTGGCAAGATTGGCGGGTCCTTCCGTCATTACTCGGAGGAGCAGTTCCAGTATATCCTCAAGACCGCCAACTTGCCGCTGCGTGGGTTTGGCTACGACCCGGAGAGAACGCAGAACTTCCCCAAGGAGGTCACACTCCCGAAGAGACAAGTGAAGCCTGGCAAGGAAGGGGCGGAGCTGCTGATTTCTACTGATCAAGCGATGGAGATTCGTAAGAAGAACGATTCATTTGGTCGTGGCTCGACGTACTTCCGACGAGCGCTTACAGAGGCTGTCATCGCCAACGACGGCACAGAACTCAACATGGACGAAGTGCTAGCTGCAAGGGACTGGCTGGTAAAGAAAGAAGAGGACGAAGCCACAAAGAAGCTTGAGGAATTGAATGTGACCGACGCCGAACAGAAAGAGTAAGGTTCGACTGCTAAAATGTCCTCAAAAGAAGAGCGTAATGAAATATATTTCAAGTACAAAGCAGAGGTCCTGGTTTTCTGGTCTGGGCAGTGGTTTGGACTAGAGTTCTCTGCTCACGACGTCGCAATGGGTTTGAGCGCTCCTTCGATGCGTTGAATTGTCGTCTGCAGCTTGAGTTTGAGCGTCGCGTCCTTGCATTCAACCTCCTGTGACGCGTGATCAACCACAGCGTCGACACCGCTCGGTGTTCGCACGTGAATCTTGTTGGTCTCGAAGTCCAAGTCAACGTCTCCATATTGATCCTTCAGTAGACGGAACACGATCAACAGGTTCAACGCATCTTGGTCAGCCCCACCCAGCTCCCGTGCTGCCTTCTCCAGATCTGTCTGCACTTCCTTCTTGTCATCCGACACAGGATCCTCGTGGCCCTCCTCCGCCTTCTTTGCAACGACCAAGTTCTCTTCCTCCGCCTTCACTGTGTCCTTCTTGCCATTCGCTTCATCCTCCGTGTTCGTCTTCTTCGAGTGGTCATGCGGACACGCAGCTGTCGGCTGGTTACTCAGCTTGAAACTAGCAGGACTGGCCTGTGCGTGCATAGCGAGAGCGATCAACGAGTCTGCAATCATATCAGCGGTGGGGGCAGACGTCCACTCCACAACCAGCTTCTCAGTTGCACCTTTAGCCACAGCACAACGCGTGACAACCACCTGCTTGCACACCGCGACACGGTTCTCCTTCTCCAGATGCACCACATCCTCGTACATCTGACGAATAAACGTGATCAACACGTCGAACGAGTTGTACTCGAATGGCACGTGCTGCTTCTGCGTAATCGTACCGGAAATGAGCTTCGTGTACGTCGAGAGATCTTCCTTATCCATCAGATGCGTCTGCGAGTCCACCTCCACCAAGAGACCAGAGATAATTGTTCCATTCTTTGGCTGATTACTGGCCAAACCTCCAATAGCCTTGGCGATCTTCTCTCCTTTAAACTCGAGTACAATCTCCTGCATGTTGGCTGGTGTGGAGATACTCGGATGGTAGACTTTCGGGTCGTTAAACTTCTTGTTCAACGCTGACTTCAGCCGCATCATCTCGTTCTTCTCGCCGTGAACCAGCACAATGTTGGGCGGTGTGAGTTTCTCCACAAATCCACTGGTACCCACGAAGTCTGCGTGTGCCGAGAAGGAAATGTACTCGACTGTGCAGTTCATCGGGATGATACGACCATCCAACGCCGCGATCTCCGTCGGCTCGGACAGAATCTTCTTAGCTAACGTACCTTCGACCACGTAGCCAGGAATCAAGCAGGCATTGCGTTTATCCGAGCACCAACGCTCGAAGAGTTGTCGAGAGACTCCGCTCTGCAGCATACCGGGACTGGCCATCACTACAGACGGCCCAGAGTCGTCGAAATCATCCATACTCTTGAGGTTCGAGATGTGTTCGAACTGGAACGGGTTCGAGATGGCGATCTGCTTGCGGATACGGTCGTTCATCATGTTGATGTATGTCTGGTACACACGCAGAGCCTTGGCTGCCAATTTGGACGCAAAGTAGATGGGAATGTCCTGTAGATCCGGGTGTGAGCGCCAATGCTCGTCTAGAATCAGTAGTAGCTCCTGGGTACGCCCCAGAGCGAACACTGGGATCAGACAGCGACCTCCACGACGCACTACAGCCTCAACTTGCCCTGTAAAGCGTCCTTCACGCTCCACTACGGACTGGTGTACTTGCACACCGTATGTGGACTCCACAATGAGCACATCGGGCGAACAAGCTGGTAGCTCAGCTGCCATGAGATGACGGTCATTCTCGAGCGAATAATCTCCTGTGTAGAGCACCTTGACGCCTCCAATCTCGATGAGGTACATACACGCCCCCAGTACATGACCAGCGTTGTAAGGCGTAAACTTGATGCCATTGTGCATCATCTCTTGGTGGAAATCGATGATCTCGACCTTGGAGACGCAGTTGTTAAGGTCTTTATCGTCATAAATCTGGTCATCCACAGAGATGTTGGATACACGCAGGAAATCGCGTAACATCATCTGCATCACGGCCTTTGTAGGGTGCGTCATGAATACGCGGCCTTTGAAGTTCGTTTTCTCGGTGAAATGCGGCAGTGCAGCCACGTGGTCGATGTGGAAGTGCGTGATGAGCAGCAGGTCGATCTCCTCGGCCTCCACGCCGTCGAAGAAGGGCAGACTACCGTGACCAGAGTAGCCTGGGTGCACGCCGCAGTCTAGCATGATGGTCTTGCCCTTGAACTTGAGCACAATGCAAGAGCGACCCACCTCGTTGCCGGCGCCCAGCGGCATGATGCGCATGATGTGGCGCTCATCCGCGGCTTCCTCGGCCAGTCGGCGCTTCGACATTGCTTCTGTGGTTGTGTCAGTAGAGCGAGGTATCAGTATTGTATTCTCAAGCTGAAAAAGCAAAACAAAATAAAAATGTTTTTTAGAAAAGCTAACGCTTTGAAACATTTTTTTGCCTTACATTTTTTTAAAAAGTGATTTACTAACAAATACTTCATTTGTATTTTTAATAATATAGCTGTAAAAAAATAAACAAACCTTTGAAAACATCGAAATATGCAGGTAGGCTATCCTCCTTAATTTTCGATTAAATCCTCGCTCTTCTAGGATTCAAGGCGTTGATGTCAATGTCTTCTTTTGTCACTCGGCAAGTGCTCCAGTACGTGATCTATCGTGGCTTTTGGGACAGACGGGCACCGGTACGGAGCTGGTACTGCCAGCACCAGCTCTACATATCTGCAATTCATCGCTTTGGCTTTACTGTGTCGCTGACAAACATGACCTTTGATGCAAAGTGTGGAGTGGACTAAGGTCTTCTGTGGGACGTAATAACGCTTCATTTTTGCAACCTGTAACTTCCACATTAATTTTCGTCGACTCAGAAAAAACTGCTAGGATTCATTTCTCGGTTTCATCGGATACTTGAGAAATCGTAATTCGCGGCTTTTCATGTTCCGTTTGTATTTATAGAGGTCATTTTTGCCCATCCACTCTCAAACACTGTCAGCATACCTTACAAGTTATTAATTTTCACAATCTTGAAGTCTGACTGCAACTTCGTTCAGAAAGAGAAACCAACCCAAGAGAAGAAGGCAACATGAAGCCTCAGCCTCCAGGGCGGCGCAAACGCGCACTGGAAGACGATGACCGTCGCTCACCACGCGCGCTGTACGAGAGCGAGATCATTAGTCCGCGGCTGGTGGACGTGCAGGTTGGGCTGTCCACCTCCGTAGGGGGCCATGTTGGTATCGCAGAAGCTGGAGCAGAGCGCGGGCGCGTGACTGGCGCCATTAAGAGCCGCCGCTTGAGTGAGAGCGTGGATGCGTCGCCAGCTGTGTTCGTGACTAAGCTCACATCTCTATCAGGTCCCGTGTCGCCCACGCTGCCGTTCACGAGTGCCCCGTTCGAAATGAAAAAGGCAGGAGGGCTTGGCCATCCCATATTCACTCTAGGTCAAGCTAGACCTGCAATATCTACACCGCTTGGGACACCAGGACATGCAACAGAGCAGCAGATAAGCCCGAGACTACTGGAAGGAGGTCTTACAGCCAGGGTAGTTGGGTCTGGAATTTCGCCCCTAGGCAGTCAAATCCTGACTCAGGAACAGAAGAGTCCGGTACTACAGGGGAAACCAGAAATTGTTGGCGAGAAGCCACGTGCAGGTCGAGGATTGCCGACGGTAATAAGGAGAATAGCTCACTGTTTAACACTTTGTAGATGCTAACGGGTCATTCTTGGTGCAGATTTCTGACTTGTTGGGACCAGGAGCTCAGGACAACAACAAAAGTCCAGTATTTGGATCATTAAACACTCCGTATCGAGTACCTACCGTCACGTCCACTACCGTAAACTTACTCATTGGCTTCTTCGAGTTCGAAATACATACTAATACCCCTATGTTCCCCGCTCCAGGCACCTTCATCCAAGCAGGTTACAAAGAGAGAACCGTTCCCGCTGAACCAACGACGCAACCTTGAGTCTGTTAAAGGAATCAGAACTCCACTGTTAGACTCAGGTGGAGCTCGAAATATTACACACACTGCCCCGATGCTGTCGTTTGATGCAGACGACGTCTCCAGTGACGAAGAACTCATAGGAATTCCAGGTCCAGACATCCCGGACCCCGATATTTCCTTCTCTCAGGAGAAACTGGGGGATCTCTCAGTCACGGAAAATAATCTGGAAGAAACCGCCGTGTTAACGCTCTGTGACGGACTAGCGAATAGCCTCACAAAAGTCGAACGAGACCGAATGGAGCTGCTCAATCTGTACACAATAGCGCTCGCTCAGCAGCCGAGTCCAATTGTGTTGGGGCGAGATCAGTTCCAAGACGTGTTTGGCGATAATATCCGAGGCGGGATGCTGTCACATTTGAGTCGCCGACATTGCTTGATTCACGTCGAGAACATGTCGTCGCAGGATGAATCCGCTAGAATGGGAGTTAAAGTGCGTATTGAAGATACAAGTACTAACGGCATCAAGATTAATGGACTGCCGCTTAAAAATGGCCAGTCGCACGAGTTGCAGTTGAATGATATTGTCACACTGATGCGGATTCGACGAGGAGAGGTGAGCTTTGTAATACCGGTATCTAAAATTGCGAGATGGTGGACTAACGCTTGGAATCCTTCCAATAGGAGGACGTTTCGCTGGAATACAAGCTGATTCGGGCGGATCCGGGGCCTGAAAAGAGCAAGAGAAGGAGTAGAAAGAGCAGACACGATGGACGGTTCGTCAGACCGAGCGACAAGTTCTCGTGCGAGTTACTGGACGTGAGCAATCGACACGGACTCTCTCCAGTGCAGGAATCGGACGGTGTATCACCTGTCACAGTTCCAGCTCGAGCTATTGCACAGGACATGCGACATGAGATACCAGCGGGGCTATTTACTCCAGCAGATACCTCTCAGTCCTCGAGGAAGAAGGAGGATACGAGCAAAGCGGAGCCATTTCGACCAATGCCTATCTTGGCGCGGAGAATTCAATGCGTGCGTTGACATCTTGGACAAGGTTTTGGCTCGGTGGGGGAACTAATCGCTTCGTTGACGTTCTACAGACAGTGTTATTCGCTGATCAGTCCACACAGGATTTCTCCGAGACGAGTCAGCCTCTAGAGGTGCGTAACCTGTGCAGATTTCTTTGCATATCAAGTCGTTCACTTACCTTCTATTTCTTTGCTAAACAGGAAGCGAACTTTGACTACCGTGAAGAGTTATCCGAGATCTTGTCGTCTTTTGCTTCGATCCGATCATTTGACGTAAGTAGCTTTGAAAATGTCGCTGAATTGCTAGCCGTTTTGACAATAACTCGGTGGACAGGCATCATCGTATCACTGTGCGACCATAGAGACGATTGAAGACGCTCTAAACGATGACAGCGATGTGGTGTTCTATACCGGTGGGGGGGATGAGGATCATTTGGTAGTAGAAGGCTCAAACGGGTTGTCAGCTCGTCTCGAAAAGGACGATATACGTCAACTCTTGTCTGAAGGTAAAGAACCATTCATCAAGCACCGCTAGGCTGATTTATTTTGTGCAGTGCTGACTTTGTCGTACTGAAACAGCAGGCCCTTACTCACCAAAGCTGATCGTTGTCATCGCACCTTCACTTGGACCAGGTAAGCGCTTAGTTCTCGTGATAATACTTGTTGAGCCAATCGCTTACGTACTCGATTGCTAGCTTTTCTGTTGGCTGAATGCGGGGCTCCTCACGTATGTTTCTTGAGCTCTACCAGCAAACATTCACTGCGGGTTACTTCGTTTATAAGGTACTGTCAATTTATGAGCTCTCACTTGATTATTTCTTTTTTTTGACACGGAATTGAATTTGAAACAGGGCGCTGACTGCTGGTCTACTAAAAGGCTATTCTATCGAGAAGAGCTACATTTTGGCTGAGTTCGTGGCTCTGAACGACTTACTGCCAATTGTACGACCAACCGACCAGATCTGTAAGTTGCTACCGAGCTCGAAGCGACACAACAACCAGATCGGGTCTCCTATCACAGAAGCGGCGGCCGATAGAAACGTGATTGCCCTGCTTAACGCGCTATTTATCCCCGTTCTGGCAACTCATTTCCTCGGAAGAGATGTCCAAGTCCGCAAGGTACCTACTGCGTATTTAGTGAACGTGCTGCACGTATACTGACTGTTGACGACCAGGTGAAGGCAGCTTTGGCTCAGAAGATTCGAGTCTGCAACGTGCATGGCCCTCGAGGCGTCGGGAAGTCGTCAATTGCCATTCACGTTGCTAAAATGTCATACCGCACGAGGGGATACCGGAATGGGGTGCACTATTTTGCTGTAGACAAGTTGGTGGAGCACATTCAAAACGGTATCAACTCAGTTTTGGCGTCCTCGCACGACGACGAGTACCCGCGGCCGAGTACTCAGCGCGAAGATCCTCTACCGAAAGTGATCGAAGGGGTCGAAACCCTTCTTCATTCACTTCCAGAGTAAGTTCTGCCTTGGTATACGGCCAGTTACAGTAAAGTATCTGATAACAACGGTGTTTTGTAGGACGGACCCCGCAAATTACCCGACTACACTTCTGGTTTTGGACGGGTGCGACGTCGTTCTTCCAGCACTTGAGGTGTTTGTGCTGAATATCATTCGGTCGTTTCCCAGTGTCCAGGTACACAGACTTCTGATAATTCGATTTGAACGAACAGCATACTAACGCTATGAACTGAGTGTGCAGATCTTAGTAACTTCAACCGAAAAGCTACAGCTGGACACTGATGGAGGCGATTATTTACGTGAAGAAGCCATTCACGTTAAAGAACTGGGGAAAGCGGATAGTGCCAAGCTATTCTTCAAGTTAGCAAGGGGTCATTTGACCTCAAGACAATTCCGACACCGTACGTTCGACTATTAAAGGTCCCAAACACTTGATGGAAAACTGACGGTATTTTTTTTATTTGTTTTTGTCTCAGTCTTTCCTGATAGCAGCATCGACGCTATCTCCAACGACGAGCGCTTATTGGGAACCAAAGGCAACCCCTTTCGGATCTCTCGACTCGTATACCAACTCGAGTCGCAAACAGCCATCGGCAACTGAAACAACTAGGTGCCCACGATTGTAACCTATTGAGCTGACTTGAATCACTACACAATTTTACAAGGTAGCAGGATAATGACGGTAACGTGGCAAATTTTTGATCACTCGAGTACTGTATGACCTTTGTATCATCTACGCTTCAATAACACCTGCGTGGAAGTGCCGAAGCAGTACTCCAAGATGCACAAGAACTCTTCCAGTAGATACCGTCCGCAGTCGACATCTCTCTGACCATGCTGCGTTGAAAAGCACGTCATCACTCTTTAGTTCCGGCGTGCGTCCAAGTAGATATACATCCAGTTCTTCCATTGTGGTGCCAAGTGGACGCCACAGCGAGACCCAGAGCTTGTGTTGACCAGCAGCAAAAGGCACCGACACGAAGCCGTATCCGACCACGTGCAACTTCATGTTGGAGTCTGCTCTCCACACTTGGAAGAGCAGCTTGGGCCAACCTTGGAAGGCTGAAGTCGCGAAGTGCAAGTCGATCGGGTGAGACCACACAGCCACGTCAGGATCAGACGTCCACGGCGCTGTCGACGGGTAATCAAGTTGCGTTTGACCGAACGGATCTCCAGCGACGAGACTCCATCGACTGCCATACTCAACACGCCACTTGCATGCCAAACCTCCAGCAGCTCCGAAGCCGTGGCCACTGACGATCTCACCGATCAAATGCACTTCAGGTTGATACGCAGGAGGCACATCGAGTTGTGCTCGTCGTTGTTGCAGTCGGTATGTGTTGTATGGAGACTCGGGAATCGGTAAAGTGTCGTCAGATTCGGGTTTGTGTCGACGCAGTGGAGACAGATCATTCGTCTGGTTGTCCTGCTCACTGTCGCTGGAATCGTCGGCTCGTTGTTGACGTTTAGTACGTTTGTCTTTCTTGCGAGCACGAGGAGAGGGTCGACTTGAATTGTTGCTCTCTGGACCTTTATCGTCCTTGCGAGGTGTCTCCGTTTGGTTGTCGGATGCCTTGTCATGTTTCAAGTCGGGAATCTTCCAGCGAGTTTTACGCTTTGGCGACGGGATGAGCGGCACTTTGTCCTGGTCTGCACTGGGCTCTAGAGTTTCATCTTGAGTTTTAGCTTCTAGTTTCTTGTCCTCGATTTTGGTTTTCTTTTCCGGCTTCGGGAGCTTCATCAGTCTACGGCAACATTTGAAAAAATATCATTAATACTTCGCTGTCGACACGATGAAAGCATACTTTTTCTTCGGGGACGTCTTGGGTGGTGCATTGTCCGCGTCGAAAAACGCTTTTTGCCTAAGTTTCTGTCCTATGGATTTTCGAGGCGAGGGAGACTTCGCTTCAGTATCAACAACAGCAGCGGCATCAGTCTTGGCTTTGTCACTCGGAACGTGTGTTATCGCTTCAAGTGAAGCAGCCGGTTTCTTCTTCTTCTCCTTGGGAGGCTTCGGCTCTTTCGGGGGTTTCTTCTCCTTCTTTTTCTTCTCGGGAGACTTCACTGTTGACTCAGCAACGTCGGGCGCATCAAAACTGCAACATAAAGTGCGCGTTCAACCAGGTGTGTATCACACAACTCAGTGACGTCGATACCTTACCTCGCAGCTCGACTAGGTGGAGCTCTCTTCTTGGGCGAGGCAAGCTTCTTTAACATCTTGCTCTGTGAAGAGACGTCTGTCTATATACAAGCGCGCCACTTACTTAACTGTAACTGTAGTTTGAAGCACAAGCACTGGGGCCTCTGCCCGTGTATTTTATGAAGTCTATCCGTCTCCAGTCTAAATCCACGATCCTGCCTAGTTCTTCTTAGTGCGCATACGCTGCGCTTTCTTGCGCTTGCGGTGCTTGTGCTTGTTCATTTTCTTCCGTCGCTTCTTGACCACGCTGTCCGCCAGGTATCCATCCATCTGACGCAGCAGCGAGTCCATGTCCACGTCGGCGAAGTCACGCAACGGCAGGTTGTCGTGCAGCGAGCTGAGCATTCCCGGTGTGTCCCACAAGTCTTCCGAGCAAGCTAGCGCTCCTTCCTCTACGTCCTCGTGTTCGCTCTGCAGAGGGAACGATCCAACCTTCCACATGAGCGACGGGTCTGCCCGCGGGTACTTATTCTTCCATAACGAGGGATCTTCAGGCATCGGAAAGGACGGAGTCTGGAACAGTGAGTCCGGCGCACGCGTGGACATGAAGGCACGGCATGCCGTCACCTGTGGAGGGTGTAAAGAGCGCTTCGACGCGCCCAAAACGCAGCGAGCGGCAGCGCGCAGACCAGACATGATGGTCGCTGGAACGTGGCGCTTTTCTCACTGCGGAACAGGATGGGAGGCTGGTAGGAGGTTGTCATAACGCTTGATGATTGGACGAAACCAAGTGCTTAATAAAACATTTTTCGAAGAGTAGACGGATTGGATGAAAATATATCATTGGAATTAATTCTGCCCCAAAATATGGAATTTTCAAACCTACCGTATTTTAGCATAAATGAGACAGCGCCGAACAAAATGATACTTATGAATTATTTTCAAAAGTATCATTTTGTTTGACGCTGTCTCATTTTTTAAAGAAAATCAACTTAAAGTTAACCAATTCATTTTCGCACTTAGCCGAAGCTGTGACATTTGGTGTAAACTCCATCGAAAAAACTGTAAAACTACCCTTTTTCAATTGCTTTTAACAAGGGCTTTTAAATAACACTTGAATAAAATTGAAAAATATTGAGCTCACACCACTCCTAAATGTATCGTCATTTCGAGGGCCCATAAATGGAGATAATATATATTTGAGCGACCACAACCTCTTCACTCTGTAGCTTATAAAGGGTTAGGAGATAGAGAAGACGCCCCGCTTTGGTTTAGAGTGCTTAAATCGCGATTTGTACGTAGGCTCGTAAGTATTGTTTTGTTTGACATTGTCTCAAATTGATGAGATCTGTCCAAAGCGGTATTTTTCGTGGCAGTATCCTTATGTACAAATGCATGGATAATTGCGAAGCACGACTAAATAGCACGAAGGGTGTACTAGGAAAATTGCCCATCCAAACCGCTTTGCCACAAATGGAAAATCCGTCGATATGACCGCGCTACGGTGCAGATAAATAATATGTGGTCGCTTTAGCTTCTAGATTACCAATTATTTTTGTGTTTTCCAGGATAAAAATTTCGGCCAGAGTAAAAGTTTAGCAGCAATTTGCTGTGTCGTACACGGTAGTGCAACATGTTCCACAGCCCTGATCCAGTACGCACACAAGGTGGCACTAACGTGCCTTGCGTGGAGGGTAGAAGAGAATGCGTCCTACTAGGAGTCCTTAAGTGTCCTATTGTCCTAAAACCTGGGATAAAAAACTAGCAATTCGGCTCATAAACAAACCCATATTTAGGACAACACAATGAGTTTTAGGACGAAACAAGCCAGGGTCCGCGTGTCCCAAAAAAACACTCGACAACTGGACACTCAGTCTGTCCTATTAGGACAGACTGCAACTCAGACCACTGTCCTATTAGGACAACACCAATCAAGCCATATCCTCAACTGGCCTAGCTAGAAACAATAAACATCTTAAAGCCCCTTTTTCCAAGAGCAGCCGATTCTTTGTTGTGCGCGAAAAGCACCTCAACAAAACTTCTCTACTACAAAGTGTGTGACAATATTTTTAAAGTGTTTTAAAGTATTTTAGTCATTGAAGGTAATAATAGCCGCTAATAACGGTTGAGCGACTTCAACATGCACAGCAAACGACGGTTAATAATCAGAGCGTGACGACAAAGGGGGGGGGGTTCAAAAAGCATTAAAGTACTCGCAAGGGCTACTTGGATGCAAGTCGATCCGAAGACGCGGTTAGCAAGCGATGGGGGCCTTGTTAGCGCGGCGGTGTGCTCGGCCCTGGTTCGTCAAGTTGTCTGGCGTCGTCGGGGTGTCGACAACAGGTGCGTTTGTGGCAGGCGAGTCCGGGCTGGGAGCCGACGTCGATGGGCAGTTGGACGGCACGTAGACTACCAGGTCGGCCTTCAGGTTGGAACCGACACCGACCGGCAGTTGGCACTCCTCCAGGTTCATGGCCTTCACGTCAGCGAGCAGGGTGTTGCAGGCAGTCGAGGCGCACATCTTGTCAATGGTGGCCTGGTCCGGGATCTCAGTGATCCGTGCCGCACTGTTGAATGTTCGGGCTCGTGAGCAGAGCGGACAAGACACTGCTTCCGCAGGTGGCAGCAGATGCCAGATAGGCGAGCGCCCTAGCTGCAGAAGGAGTAGCCGCAATGGTCCATGATGCTTGGCTGCAGTAGTGGAGATTCAGAAATGGTTGGTGTGCCCCAGGACAATAAGTAAAGCCAATGTGAGTTTTAAGTAACTCTTACGTAAATTTACGTAGATAGTCCGGAAAAAGTTAATATTTGAGGTTTAGGACAATCTGGAGGACACAAATTATAATATTCTGTAACGAAGGATTAGTCGCTTTTTAGGACACATCTCCAAAATCTCCCTGTAAAATTTAGGACAAATAGGACAGTTTAGGACGTGTCTTAGGACGCATTATCCTACACCGCGTGGAGAACAAAAAATACTGCCGAGGCAGTGGGGGGGGGGAAGGGGGGGGGGGGCGCAATACGCGGTTTCTACGAATTGGCCTGCTGATTAGAAGCTTACTATCTTCAGTGCTAGCGTTCGAAATCCTTCTGCCATAAATTGCTGCAACACAGAGCTCGGAAAATTAAATAAAATATTGTATTGGATTTAGAAAAAAAAGTAATCCGTTATTCCGTATCGATAAAAACAATAATAAGTACTGCAATTATTGTCAGGAATTGGTAGGGTCAGAGCGGTGCAGTGGTTTGGGATGACCCTACCAATCCCCTGCACAGGGTTCAAGTCCCACACCTGTAAGAGAAGCTGGTGGCTACCACCGGGACTTTTGTCCGGGCTTAGGGTACTCTAGCAAACAAAAAATGCGCCGGCGACGGCAGGCAGTCCACCAGCGGATATGGGTTTTGTATCTGAAAGTTTTATACCTGCTATATTTAATGATAAGACATATTATCACTAATAAGAGGTTATCATTCTTGAGTGACTTTCATCTACTCTGCGTCTTCACCGGCCGACTCATGGAACACCAACAGAGAAGTGAAGTCCCAGAGCTCACGGTTAGCGCGTAAGAACACCAACATCTCGAAGTTAGCTGGCAACAGGCTGGAGCGTAGAGGGTTGAGCACCAACTTGCACTGCGAGAAGAGGCGCTCACAGCGATTGCTGGTTGGAGGAACCTTTTGTAGCACGTCAATGTACTTGGTTCCAGCGGTTCGGCGAGGTCTCTTCGCTTGACGAAGCGTTTCCGTCGCGAAATCTGTTTTCTTCTTCTTGTTCGGTGCTGCTGGTTCGCGATCAGCAGGGCCAGCAAAACGAGCCACAGCTTCTTCTTCATCGGCGCTTAACGGTCGATCCGACAGCAGCTTGACAACCGCATTCTCAAAGGCCGGCGAGTGGACGATTCGAGCCGATGCACTAAGGTGGTGTGCCGTCCCTGGGTACTTGGAAATGACAGCGTCGAAAAGGAGTCGCACATCGGCAAGGTTACCTTCTTCGGCCTGTAGCTTGACACAGACGCTGTCTAGCGCCTCAAGCTTAGTGACAAGCTGGACAATCTGCCGATGGGTGCTTGGTCGGGGTAGGAGGTCCTCCACAGCTGTCACCATTTTGATAGCGTCCCGGATCTCCACATAGCGAGCCAGCATCTGGTAAGTGGATGACCAGCGCGTAGCGTTTGCCTTCAGCGGCTTGTACTGCGTAAACCGAGCCAGGTCCGCTGCATTGTTGGCGTGCCGCAGCTGAATACACAGCGTTTGGACTTGGTCGATCAGCGGCTTGTAGTCTTCAAGGTACCGGCCGACAGCGAGGTTGAAGCGATGACTTGCGCATCCTACGAGCGGTACTCCCATGCGCGTAGCGACGGCTTGGTTTGTAGGGCAGTTGTCAGCAACCATGAACAGGACCATACTGCGATCCTTCTTGTAGACATCCAGCACCGCATCAATCATGTCGATGTGAGCATCAGCGGTCTGGCCGTGCTCGGCAGAAGACAGCCCGAGCAAAACTTCGTGTAGCGCCCCGTCCTTCGTGAAGACACCGTAGATAGCGATGAAATGGTAGGTCCCTGAAGTCCAGCCGTCAAACATGAGGCCAAACTGGTTGC